AGAAAGAGGCAAAGTTTGTTAGTGGCATCACCAGCCTGGCATTTTCTATCTTCAACAGCAAGAGGCTAGACCAAAGAACATGAAGTCTAGACTGGTACCTCAGTCCCCACCAAGAGTCAGCCCATCATCTCCAGCAGCAACCATCATCCGCCAGGCTTTCTTTTCAAATTACTGGAGTGGAAATAAAATATTCCCTTTAACCACCAACTACATCCAACATCCAAACACGATTTGGCCAATCCTAGTATTACAATTTCTCCCAAGAAACATCTAATAGAATCATCTGTTCATCAGTTTCTGTACTGCATGCCACCATATTTGTTGTGAGACACAGCCAGCTTTGTCATCTCGATCCCCTCCTCCTTTTTGTTGTCATCTCGATCCACTCCTCATTAGCATAGACTTAATTCAAACTTTAACATGTTACATTTCTGATCCATACAAGACATTTTCCTATGTTGGCACTGCTGCTATATATAGTAAGTAATAGTGTTGACAAGTGTCATGATAACTAAGTATATGTATAGCAGGAAAAGGAGTATAGAATGCAGACATCAAGTCTCCTAGACAAATGACATGTCCAAAACTGTAAATACAAAATAATATAGTAATTAAAAGCCTTATGAGCCCCTTGGTTCTTCAATTTATGACTTTATCTAGGATACAAACACTCAACACATCAAGCAGTATGTCCAATATATATATCCACATGTGTCCTCCATGCATATGCATGCATCCATTAATCCCTATACTCTTACCATAAACCCTTTGTCTCATGATCTTAGCCAGTTTACATTTTTCCTGATATACTAATTTTGCCTCTTTTACTATATATATAGAAGAAACTGATTGGTTGACAAACAACTTCAGAAGAACAATTTTGATATTCTTGTTAACAAATAATGCTCCTTGAATATTGCCTATCTTATGACAGCCACAATACCAGAATTTGTTTTAAAATGCCTAGACCTTCCTGCAGTATTTGATTATAACAGTTAAGGCCAGCTGTAGTTTTTACGACCCTCATATCATCTGACAGAAAACAATGATCAATTACCAATTTGACTTACTAACATAAGGCTTGGGTTTGCATTTGCCTCTTGAATAGGATTAACAGAGGAAGAGCCTGATAATTATAACAAAAATAAAATGGTGTTGCGCTAATATCAATAGTACTAAGGACACAATAATTTGAAGAGTGGGGGGACAGAAAAAAATAACCCCAAAACAAAGGTGATAAGTATAAAAGCCTGAATCCAGACCTAATTAGGTGCAATATGAACTGTGACAAAGACAACGTGAGTAATAATCAGCAAGTGAACATAAATAATACATAAAAATGTAAAGGCCTGAACCCAGACCAAACTAAGTGCAATATAGATTGTGATGAAATACAACATGAACAATAGTCACCAAGTGAACATACAGTGAGGAACAGAAGTATTTGAACACCCTGCGATTTTGCAAGTTCTCTCACTTAGAAATCATGGAGGGGTCTGAAATTCACATTGTAGGTGCATTCCCACTCTGAGAGACAGAATTAAAAAAAAAATTCAGGAAATCACATTGTATGATTTTTAAAGAATTTATTTGTCTTGCACTGCTGAACATAAGTATTTGAACACCTAAGAAACAGCAAGAATTCTGGCTCTCAAATACCTGTTACTGTGCCTTTAAAAAGTCCACCTCTACTCCACTCATTAATCTAACTTAGTAATACCTGTCTGAGCTCTTTAAAGACACCTGTCCACCCCACAGTCGGTCAGATGCCAACTACTACCATGGGCAAGACCAAAGAGCTGTCAAAAGACACCAGAGACAAAATTGTGGCCTTCCACAAGGCTGGAAAGGGCTACGGGGCAATTGCCAAGCATCTTGGTGAAAACAGATCAACTGTTGATGCAATTGTTAGAAAATGGAAGAGGCTAAAGACTACTGTCAATTTCCCTCGGACTCCATCTAATATCCCTATAACTTCTTTAAGGCTACCTCCTTTACTATAATTAATTCTGTATAAGTTTCTGAGTTTCTGAAAAAAATTAAAACTTTAATGCAGAAATGCCAAATGAACGCATCATGTCAGTTGAAATCAGGCCTCAAACACATGTATTGATATGGGTTTATACTTCCAGGGTATACCAAAATGGCGGCGACTATCACCACGCTCCGCTAACAGACCCACGTGTTATGTCACTGTCCCGTGACTTCATCAGGGTATCTATCAATTTTATGAAATGTCCTTTTAATATGTAAATGCTGGTCATGCTGTTATCAAATCAGTGGCTGTTTGTGCATGTACATACAAATACTCCATAACTTACAGCACCAAGCACCAACATACTGTACAAGCAGGGAAAATAATTATTTGATCTCCTGCAGATTTTGTAAGTTTACAAATAAATTAAGGGTCTATAATTTTTATAGGAGATGTATTTAAATGATAGAGACAGAATATCAATCAAAATCCAGAAAATACAAATGTTATAAATTGACTTGCAGTTCAGTGAGTAAAATAAGTATTTGATCCCCTACCAACCAACAATAATTCTGGCTCCCACAGACATGCTATGTGCTCATGTGGAACACAGATTAGTCCTGTCAATTTAAGAAGATGCTCTTAATGACAACTCGTTATGTATATAAAAGACACATGTCCACAGAATCTCATTCTTCCTCACCATCATGGGCAAGACCAAAGAACTGTCAAAGAACATCAGGGACAAGATTGCTGACCTGCACAAAACTGGAATGGGCTACAAGACCATCAGCAAGAAGCTTGGAGAGAAGGAGACAACTGTTGGAGTGATTATTCACAAATGGAGGAAATACAAAATAACCATCAATCACCATGCTCCAAGATTTTACCTCATGGGATAAGGATGATCACACCAAAGGTGGAGTATCAGCCCAGAACTACATGGAAGGAGCTTGTGAATGATCTCAAGGCAGTTGGGACTACAGTCACCAAACAAACCATTAGCAACACAATACACCGCCATGGATTGAAATCCTGCAGTGCTTGCAAGGTCCCCCTCCTCAAGAAGGCACATGTACAGGTCCGTCTGAAGTTTGCTAATGAGCATATAAATGATTGAGAGAAGGATTTGGAGAAAGTGTTGTGGTCAGAGAAGACCAAAATTGAGCTCTTTGGCATTAACTCGACTCACCGTGCTTGGAGGAAGAAAAATGCTGACTACAACCCTAAGAACACCATCCCTATAGTCAAGCATGGAGGTGGAAACATTATGCTTTGGTGCTGTTTCTCTGCTAAAGGCTGACTTTGCCACATTGAGGGGGCCAATGGACGGGGCCTTGTATTGTAACATCTTGGATGAGAACCTTCTTCCCTCAGCCAGAACACTAAAGATGTGTAGTGGATGGGTCTTTCAGCATGACAATGACCCAAAACATAGCGTCAAGCAGGGGCGGACTGACCATTTGGAAACTCGGGCACTGCCGGAGGGTCAGGGGTCAGTAGGGGGCCCCATGAGATGCCCCTGGTACCTTTTTCATAGTCTTTTTTGAGTTTGGGGAAGGATACAGGGGCCCCATGATCCCCTATTGCCCGGGGGACCCATGAGTTGTCAGTCCACCCCTGGTGCCAAGTCAACAGAGTGGCTCAAGAAAAAAAACATTAAGGTCATGGAGTGGCCTAGTCAGTCTCCAGACCTTACTCCTATAGAAAATTTATGGAGGGAGCTGAAACTTCGAGTTGCCAAGTGACAGCCAAGAAACCTTAAGGATTTAGAGAAGATCTGTAAAGATCTGTAAAGAAGAGTGGACCAAAATCCTTCCTGAGATGTGTGCAAACCTGGTAACCAACTACAAGAAACGTCTTACCTCTGTGCTTGCCAACAAGGGTTTCTGCACCAAGTACTAAGTCATGTTTTGCTTGGGGATCAAATACTTATTTTACTCAGTGAACTGCAACTCAATTTATATTGTGTTTTTTCTGGATTTTCAGATGATATTCTGTCTCCATCATTTAAAATACACCCATGGTAAGAATTATAGATCCTTAATTTCTTTGTAAGCGGACAAACGTACAAAACCTGAAAGAGATCAAATAATTATTTTCCCCACTGTACTTCCATCCTAACACATCTCCTGTTTGGAACTACAATGAAACTATGGTGCCACTGGTTATTTTTTACCCATCCAATTTAATGGCAGCTCTATATTTTTTTACGTGGCTTGGGTCTCCACATTGGTTCTTGTTCTTGCTGCTGCCAAATGGTACTACCACTGGTCAGTTTTTAACAATCCAAATGTAGGGGCAGTAGCTCAAATCATTTTTGAAAGTTTGTGTCTCCACTTTTAGGCCTTTTTTATGCTGCCATCTAACTGTGGTACCATTAGACAATTTTAGCCACCCATATCTGAGGGCTGTAACTGTAATTTTTTTTCTTACAAATTGGAGATTTGGGTATGGGGGTTGAAGGGAATGTGAGTAGCTGTTATGAGGTATGTTTTGCACACACAGTTCTTACATTTGTTTTTATTTAGTAATCTTTGTTACAAAGCAGTGTGTTCTGATAAAAAAAAAGTCTATTCATAAAGCAAATGACTGTTGAGTGTTTATCACCTCAAACTAAAAAAAAAAAAAAGACCCTTTCGTGTAGCAGGTCTGTAAGAAGATGTAACAAAATGGCTCCACATAAAGGTAAGGAAAATATAGAAGAATGGGTTAGCAGCCTGAGGCCATAGTTGGCTGAAGGACAAATGGGTAAATTGACTAAAAGTGTAGAGTGCAAAATCTGGTGCAGTTGTGCAAAGTAGCCAATCAACTTGTAACTCCAGCTTGTTCAATTAAGTTTGATTATAAAACCTGGAAGTTGAATGGTTTTAGTCAATCAACCCCAAAAATGTGTTTCACTCTGTCACATCTTCACCCCCTTTAATGACCTGTGACTCTGCCAGTCTGCCATGTGATTGGCGGTATAAAGCTGAAGGCTGAGAGAGATGAGTCCCCCCTTGTGTTGCTATTTTGGCTGCTGAAGATGTCACTCAGAGGTGCAAGGAGCTTAGCACCACAGTCTCCACATCCAGCTGCTTGCCGCTGGAGAAAACAGGACAAACACCTCTGGTCCTGGTGCCCAGTCTGCACCAATAGCTTTGGCTCATTATGGCATGAAAAGTGGCAACATTAAAGATGTGACCCCCATTCTTCAGACAGCACATGCAGAAAGGACAGTCATCTGTAATTCTCCAGCTTTTTCTTTCAGGTGTTAAAAATAAATCAGAAAAAAATACCCATCACCGTAAAATCAAAGTTTCCCCCAAATGTCTAAAATTTTTAAACTAACCACATGCATAAAAAATCCTACTAAGTGACTCAAATAAGCCCCAAATTAGAACAAATTAAAAAGAAAAAAAACTTTTTATAGAAAAACAACAGCAGTTAAGGGGTTATAATTGCTGCTCTTAATACCACCCTTCTTTTGATGAGGGCCTGAATGATCCAGCTTATGATCATATTGGTGGCTGTGAAGCTCTAACCAGGCTCTAAGTCCATGGAGGGCAATATGGGCTAGTACCAAAACTCTTTTTGGTACTGAATTTGCCAAACCGATGAATTTGCCTGAAATTCATAAGTTCACATTTAATAAGAATTTTGATAATTTGTTGCACATTCAACTTCTGATTGTCAACACCTTGCAGCTCAAGTTATTTGTTTATCTTGCAATATGGAAACTTCACTTTTGTACCAGCTAAAGTTTGAATTATGTCTTAGTTTGTTTCTGAGGTTTATTAAAGAAAAAAACAATGATTTATTATTAACAATAGCCATTATAAAGTGAAATAGTTCTAGCTGAAACTAGTCTTTAATAAACTGATTTTTCTATTCTATCTGATTCTGAGATTTATCTCTTTACAATAATATGAAAAATGTCATTATACCAAAGCGCACCATGGCAGTGCCCCTTTTTTGCTATGAAGACATGGCAGAGCACTCTCATAAGAGGCTCAATGCTAGGACTACCCAAAATGGAAGCAGAAGTCAAAAGATACACATATTTTATGTCTGTCTGAAAAGTATAATCTTTTCCACTTGGTGCTGATTCTATCTTCCAACTCTAAAGGTTAAACTGTATGCACCTCATTGTTACCAGTTCAGTGCTGTGATGTCCAATGTCGCTGCCTTTTCTGATTGTGAAGTTATGGAAAAGAGGAAGAGAAATATGAAAAGAAAAATTTTAGACTATGATAAAAGGAGAAAGAGAATGTGTGCAACAGAAATACACAAGGACAGTGTGACCAGGTGAAGATGACAAGGAGGAATGCATATAAAAAAGAGGAAACAGGAAAAATCAAGACAAAATGAAGATGGAAGACAGGAGAGAAAAGGGATAAATGTCAGGAACACACTAAAAGAAAGCTAGAAAATGTAATTGTTAATATTATTAAAGCTGAGGTTTAGCTTAAAAAAATCCTTACAGCTTTAGTCACATCACTTACTTGTAAGAAGGATGTCCCATGTTTTGCAGGCAGCTGGATCCTGGAGAAATCTTTACTGAGGGCATACCTGTCTGGTGCTGCAATGGTTAACAACTTTGGGTTTTCCAGCAGAACAGCAGTACAGATAGCCCTATGGGGTTCTGCCCCTTCTTTCTCCTCTTCCATTGATTATGCTGCCTGTAACACCATTTGTGGACGGCGGAGAGTCTGAACAGTCACAGGATTCTCTCCCCCATTCACAGATCATATTACAAGCAGTTTAATCAAATTAATAACTTTTGTCGATGGAGGAGGAGGAAGAAGGGGCCGTATCCCTGTGGGACCATCTGTACTGGTGTTCTGCCTGAAGACCCAGAGCTGTCAACCATAGCAGTGCTGGAAGTTAAGAGACTGAAAGAGGACAGGCATCCCTGCAGTGAAGATTTCTCCAGGATCTAGCTGCCTGCACAGTGTGGGACATACTTCATTATAGGTTAGTGATGTGACTGAAGCTGTAGAGATTTTCCAGACTTCTCTTGGATGCCTTTAACCCTTTCACTTAGATGCTTTTTTCATTTTTTTCACACATACTAAATAAAATACACTCAAAACATTCTGGAATAAAAAATAATGTAGAATAAAATACTGGTGAAATGGTTTTAATATTAAATGAAAAATAAACTCAAATTCATTTTAGTGCACACAAACACAATATTATAACTTTTTTTTTTAAATAGAAAAAATAAGTGGGAATCAGCTAAATAGATACCAAGTATGTCAAGCCTAAAAACTGCTTGCACTCTTGAAACAGCAAAAAATTACAGCACTCTAAATTTTAATAAGTTTAGTTTTAAAAGCTTTACAGCTCATCAATTTAGAGCTATGAATGAAGGCCAATAATTATCGCTTTCAACCTGGCATATACATGTGTGGCACAGTTGTCATTTCTGTACGCAGGTGTTTTTAGTATTTTATTAAATGTTTGGCTTTTTTTTACAATTCTTTTAGCTTAAGTTTATTTCTATGGCAAAGGGACTGACAAGCTAACAATAAATATATTTAAAGGTGAGATACAGGCAAATAAAAGACACAAATAATGTAGTTCTGTAATTATTAATGCATTCTAAATTTATTTTTTTAAATGCAGTGTACTGCCTTTAAAAGAAGTGTAAGTACCTAAATTGGACATAGTAACATTTTCTTCTAGTGCCTGTACAGAACAGTTGAGAGAGGGAAAGGAAGTGCTTCACAGGAAGCCAATAGAGTGTGTAGCAATGTAAGGAGAAAGAATGACAGAAAGATGAGGTCATCATTCTGCTGCTTCTCATTGTATTCTCCAGTAACAGGAGGATAAGAGTGGGAAGTCTGAAAATGATTGGTGATGCAGAATGGAGAAAGAATAGCAGTTGCACACACTTTAGAAGTATGTACTTCCACCATTCCGCCATTTTGAACCCATACATATACTGTAAGGCCAAATATATTTGTCATTATCCTTAAATAGCTGCTCAGCACTGCATGGCATTTAAATGGCAGCAAAAAATGTAAAAGGAATAAAATGTCTTCTAATTTAAAATATATATTTATTGAATGATCTTTCATTCATCTTGCATGAGATGCCCTTTGAATATTCTGTTATTGTGACTTTGACTTCCTAAATCATTCTGTTCAGTCTCAAGTAAAGCTTTTTTATTGATTATGTTGTAAGTCTTCTGAGTTTTATGAAAGTCATAGCCTAATCACCAATAGGTAAATTTATGCACAGGGCCTTCTCATATAAATAAATGATCAGATTAATTTTGGAACAAGCTGTGGCCTTTACAGGGAAAATGTTGTTTAGTAGATACATGCAAAGTACTGATGCAATGGAATCATACTGGGTAGTGATTAACCACTTGCTGACTGCAGTATGTTTATGTTTGACTTATCAGCAAGTGGTTATTCCAAGATCTTGGCATAGATTTTTACAGCTGGCTATCTAGTAAAACTGATCCAAGTGGCTCTATAGCTGTCCAATCACTTTTACTGTACTAAACAGGGCTGCCCCAACTCCTGCCTTTACCAGTGGTGGTACATGGGCACTCTCATTCCTCCCAGGAGCACAGGACCACAGTAAACAGCCAGTACAGCTTCACACAGTGGAGATGGAGGAACACCTGTTACCTGATTTCCTCTGTGGCTAATAAAGCTAGAAGCAACAATGATTTTTTCACTTCTGGTTTCAGAGCTCTCATTGGTTTGCTATTTGATGCTTTGAAGGGCAGAGGAAATATTGGGTGTAAGCTTGTAAGACCCCTTGTGATAGCAATAAAGTTAAATGAAAAAATGTTAAAAAGTTAAAAAATTTTAATAAAATAAATACAAATAGTTTAAAAATATTTCAAAGCAGCCCTGCCCCCCTGTGCATAGACAAATGCAAATGTGCACATAAGTCTGGTATGTGTTTGTAAACATTGATTGCATGTGAGGTATTGCCACAAACATCAGATTGAGAGCAATAATCTTATTACCATCATTAATGATTAACTCTACACTGATAACCTGTAAAGGATTTGAAAGGGTCATCTGTGGAAAATGTTGGGTACTGTAGTTTGTGGACATTTTTTGGGTGCACACAATTTAAGTCTTGACATGTTTGATATCTATTTACTAGAGACAACATTGTCTATTATACTTTATAAAACATGGTATTATATTATATTTATGTGCACAAAAATTTATTTTAGTGTATTTTTTCCCCAAATTTGCATTTGATAAATGGCTGAGCAGATATTGTGTGTAGAGATGAGCGAATCGAACTTGGCGAAGTGGAATTCGTTTAGAATATTAGGAAAAATTCGATTCGCACCGAATCCGAATTTTAGCAAACTTCGGGTGCACGAATCGAATTTTCCCCGATCAGCCGGCAAAAAGTGTCACTGCAGAGAGCTCCGCTATTTCTGACAGTTCTCTGACAGTTCTGACAGTTCATTTACAGCGGTTGAAACAATGTATCTATTTGTTTCCATTTAGGATACAGATGTTTTTATTCGGAAATAAATAGATACAATGTTTCAACCGCTGTAAATGTGAAGGAACTGTCAGAGAACTGTCAGAAATAGCGGAGCTCTCTGCAGATACACTCTTTGCTGTACTGGAATTCTTCTTCTTTTCATTCTTCTTCTTCTTTTCATTCTTCTTCTTCTTCTTTTCATTTCTTCTTCTTCTTTTCATTCTTCTTTTCATTCTTCTTCTTTTCATTCTCCTTCTTCTTCTTTTCATTCTTCTTCTTCTTCTTTTCATTCTTCTTTTCATTCTTCTTCTTCTTCTTTTCATTCTTCTTCTTCTTTTCATTCTTGTTTTCATTCTTCTTTTCATTCTTCTTCTCATTCTTCTTCTGCTTCTTTTCATTCTTCTTCTTCTTTTCATTCTTCTTCTTTTCATTCTTCTTTTCATTCTTCTTCTTTTCATTCTTCTTCTTCTTCTTTTCATTCTTCTTCTTTTCATTCTTCTTTTCATTCTTCTTCTTCTTTTCATTCTTCTTTTCATTCTTCTTCATTTCATTCTTCTTCTTCTTCTTTTCATTCTTCTTTTCATTCTTCTCATTCTTCTTTTCATTCTTCTTTTCATTATTCTTCTTCTTTTCATTCTTCTTCTTCTTTTCATTCTTCTTTTCATTCTTCTTCTTCTTCTTTTCATTCTTCTTTTCATTCTTCTTCTTCTTCTTTTCATT